CCTCTGTGAGCTCCCATTTAGGGTTTATGACACAGAAAAACAGAGCAGACTCAGTATTTCCACCAATAAACCGAGTTTACTGTAAATGCTTATCGTGTCTTAATGCTTTTTCTTTGATCTATTAGTGTGTATTTCCTCTATAATATTGACTAATTGTAAATATCTCAAATAAAGCTGTGAAAGAATGAGTCTATTCCTGTTTCTTGCTTTTTTCCTGCTACTTTTATCCGGTCAGACGGATGTCCAGCCTCCCTCTCGGAGCTTCATCTGCTGGGATATGGAATGGAAATCAGCCTGAAGCCGATTTCAGACCGGAAACATGGAGACTCACGCACCGGGCGGAGGGTGTTATCTGGGTTATCTGCTCACACGGAGCTTCAGTGTCAGATAAAGCGTGACTCTAATGACAGTCAGCATTTTCTGGCGCAGAGGGAGCTCCTGAATGGACTTTTTAGAGGCCTCTGGAGCGCCACCTGCTGGAGGGATCCGGCCTCCGACCTCTGCTAATAACAATAAACTCCATAAACACCATGATCACAGAGCTGTTTTCTGCTTCTTTATCTCTGTTAGCTCTTTAAAACTACCACAGTTTGATCAAAAACGGCTCCAGAAGTTTCCGTCTCCCACAGATTTTCCAGTTTACTGTCTTTAATCACCTCATTCCAGCTTCTTTTTTTTTTTTGTCTTTAATGATCTGAATCGCCTTCTGTGTTTTTTCTCTCAATGATTTGGGAACATAAGCAGCTTCTGGGGCTCCACAAACACTGGGGGGACGAGAATCAGCCACATTTCTGGTTAAAAACTGGGCCTTTGTCTCCTGATTGTGAGCATGTGTGCTGCTTTTGACATTTCGGAGCAGGATGAGTAGGAATGTCCCAATCCCGGCCTATTAGAGCCTGTATTAAAGTCTAAAGTTATTTATCTACTTAATTAGTTGTCAGACTCATGTTGAACAGGGATTTACTCTGATAACAACTTAATGGTTAGGACACAGACCTGTGGGTTAGGAGATGCTAATGCTAATGCTAATGCTCGTGTGGGATCAGATTTAAAAATAAAAAACTGGATCTGGAGTCTGGATCTGCATTTTCCGATCCAGATAT